GGGGCGCCCCGCTGCGCTCGGCCGGGTCGTGCGCTCCCCTCGCTCTGTGCGCGCAGGCTGCGCGGGCGGAGGCGCCTCTTCAGACGGGTTTTCCTGCACGATTCATTTATACTTGGGCGGGAACCATGCGAAAATAGCAGTTCCGTTATATTCGTAATTTAAAACACGTTGTGCGTAATGTTGTAAGGAAGCTCTTTGGATCTTACAGCTTTAACTAAAGAGACTATATCTGGAGTATCTTGACAAAGTTCTTTTTGTCTGCATTGTTAAACTGCTCTGCTCTCACGGCTGAACTACAGTGCTGAGTGCAGAAATGAGTAGGATTTAGTATAATGGAGAGCTTGGAGGTTGTCTCAAGGTGTGTTTAGTGAGACTGTGTTTACTGGTTTATAAAATATGTGAAGACCTCTTAGAATAAGAGAGACTTCTTCCATTTAAAATGGCTAGCTGTAGTGATCTCGGCTTTGTTTAGACAGAAATCTCTTCTTTGAAAGCAGCCTAGACTGGCTGAAGTTCTAAAATTTCCTGAATCTCAAATACAAAAAAATAATACAGCTTTTTTTAAAAAAAAATGATTTTGTGTCTGAAAATTGTCATGATTAGCTTGTATCTTGGCTGAAATATCTTGATGGCTCAAGAATGTTACGCTTTTTAGGTAATCCAGTATTTATAGCTTTGCCTGTGTGGTCAGAATAATGTCAGTCTTGAAACACACCACCCTTCTCCCCACAGTGATGAAACCTAAAATCGGTGTACTGGTGGAGGGAGCAGTCGTGCCATCCTACACACTTCTGAAGAGTACCAGAATACATCAAGTACTATCTCTTAAAAATGTCATTGGCATGTGCTGGTAAAAAGGTGTGTTACACCTCCTGTTTCTGTTGTCCTCCTCCAAACAGCCCATTCTGTAGCAGGTTTTGAGCTGTATGTACTTGAGGTTTCCAGTCTGGGTCAGTGCAATTAGTTTTACAGTACGCGTGTACCTTACCCAGTATGTGTTGGCTGTACCTTTGTAGCTTGTGCTCCAGTTGCACCAGGTCACCTTTCCCTTGCTATTCATCGAGGGCCATGCTCCTGTGCTTCAGAAATACAGGGCAAGACAGCTACTTGCACCCAGTCCTAACCTCCAAAATGGCTGGAAAAAGCCCTGTCCATTTACATTTAGTAGATTGTATTTTATGTAGTCTGCTTTAGACTAGTGGCTCCCAGCTTGCAGAATCCCAAGTCCAATGCAAAGTCGAAGCGGATACACGGAATCAGCCTCTGTCTGTGGAGCGCAGCATAAGGCTGGTCAGCGTGTTCCTGTGTCACGGTTACAGGAGCTGGAGAGCACCACACAGAGAAGCTCTTTCCATTTGTAGTCCTGATGTTGCTGGAGCTGGTAGTAGTGGTAGTGCGAGAGACAGCACTTCCGGGATGGGATTGGACTGCGGAGTTAAAACTTGCTGATAAATGAAACATTGCTGTGTCCTTCTTAAGAGAATAAGCAATAAAAGTTTGGAAATGTTTCCTGTTAGTGTATCTAGAAAGCCTTCCATCATACTGCATTGCAATTATACTAAAACAACAGGCTTCAATGCAAATCGTGACATTCTCCAGTGGAAATGGGTAACCTTAACTCTGCTCTTTAATAACGTGGTGATACCCCTTTCCATAGGAGTTGGTTCTAGGCCATCACTAGTTCTCATTGAAGCTACACCAGTATAAAAATGCTTAGAAGTGTTTTATTATTCGTAAGTGATACAGAGGAAAAAAAAAAAAATGAGTAAAATAATGCTGGCAGGTGAGTGTGAGGCTGTGTATGTATCTTTAGTGTGAAGATCAGTTTCCTGACATCACTTAAGCTGCATTTTTGTGTCATTCTCTGTGTACTGGATGTAGAGTCATTCAGCAGCCAGTAGACTTAGAATTTTACCCAAATTTCTCAATAATTAAAAAGGGACTTGAAACTAATTTTGTACTTGAGTTACAAGGGTGTAACAGTAAGTCTGCAGCTAGCTGAAGTCCTGAGTTTAACCCTGTACCACCATACAGGTGAGAGGCCAGCTGGCTAGGAAGCAGATTTGAAGGAAAGGAGCTGGGAGTCCCCACAGACAAGTCAGTTGAACATGAGTCAGCAGTTCTTGCAGCAAAGTAGGCCAGCAGCATCCAAGAGTGGAGGCAGCAGATCAAGGAAGATGCTTCTTACTCTCTTCTCAGTATTGCAGGGGTGCATCCAGAGTACTCAGCTCCCCAGGTCAGAAGAGACATGGACATACTGGAGTGAAAGGTTATGAAAACAGTTTAGGGAGCTGGAGCACAGGATGCTGAAAGAGCTGGCTTTGCTCTGCCGTAAGAAGAGAAGAAACAGGGGTGATCATAGTGGTATCTATACATACTTAACTGGGAGGATTGCAGAGAGGACAGTCAGATCCTTCTCAGGTGCACGGTGAAAGGATGAGAATCAGTGGACACAAGCTAGAACACAGGGAAATCTGAATAGATACACCTACTGGGCAGGTTTCTGAGCAGCCTGATCTAGTTAGTCCTGCATTGAGCAGGGCATTTTACTTGTTATTCCAGGAGATCCCTTACAACCTAAATTATTCTGTGACTGTAATAAGAAAGTTATTAGTTGTTTATTTAATGAGTAACCCCATTAGAAGAGAGACAGTTGAACATGATTTTGAAAACTAATTCCTACATCAAGAGTGTATACATTAAGCTAAATTATAAGAGTAAAAGTATTATACTAATGTATCTGATTATAGGCTTTTTATGTCTGTGAAGCAGAATATAGAAGATTGTAAGTAGAGTTGATTGCTGAAGTTTAATGGCATATGTATATACACTTGGTCAAAGATTAATTGTGCTCAGGAAAAAACGTAAATTTATGGATATAAATACATTTAATACTAAGTGTCAAATGACAATTCCTTTGAAGGTTTTCTTCTTCAGGCTTGGTTAGCAGCATAGGATCTTTCAGAGCATTATCAATCTATTTTTGAAAGAAAGAGATACTATTATTTTGCCTCTCCAAAGACGCTTTCCTTAGTATATTTAGTACATTTGCTAATACTATGCTTTTGTTTTGTTTTAGAAAGTAAGTTTGGGAATGACTGTGTTGTCTCGTTTCCTATTCATTATTAGCTTTTTTATATGGACAATGGATTTTCTTAAGCTTGGTACTAGCTTTTGTCATACATCTATTTAAAGAGACTTTAATCAATAAAGGTGACTGCATTGATTTCATAGGACATGTCTCTGTTTTTCAGTTAAGCTTGGTGCAGGAGGCCCTGAGTTGCCACTTGTCTGGCTGCATCAGAAACATGCTGAGTCCAAGCTAATAAGCCTTGTCTCTCAGCACGAAAAGGAATCCATCTTGAGAAACATAAGGATTCAGACTACTTAATTTATTTAGGAGACAGGCAAGAGAGAATTTGGTGGAACGCTTTTTTTTTTTTTTTTTTTTTAATTAATGGTAAAAAGCTTTTTAATCTAGTGAAAAAACAACAGAGAGACTAAAAAGTGCAATTTCATCCTACAGTGAAGTTAAAATACCGTTGAACCAATTGGTCTAGAGCTTTTGTATGTATTCTTTTACCATATTTTTTTTGTAATTAAGTCCACTGAGATGCACACGCTCAGATTTTTTTCCAGGTTTAACTTGATTTAATTGCTGTGAATTTTTTTTCTAATTGTTGATATTTCAGTTTATCAAAAGTGGCATTGATTACAAATGTAACGTAAGTTATAAATTCCAGTATAAACTAGGTGAATGGTGTTAATGCATTATACATCTTAAGGTTTTATATCAACTTGTTCAGCAAAGAGAAACAATTCAAGCATGAACTTTTTAGAAAAGAAATACTAAAACCTTTAAAAAGAATAGTTTTATAACTGTCAGAAAATCCATTTCAGTAAAATGATTGGGAATTTATGATTTGTACATTGTAGCTGTGGTTCTGAACAAATTTTGGTATTACAAATATTTTTTGATAAAACTGCTCCAACTACTGAAATGTTTTAGAACCTACTTAGTTCAGTATGTGATGCAGATGGAAATAATTTTAGGAATTCTTATGTCATCATTGGATTGGACTCCCATTGTAGTCATTTCTATATACACGAAATGATATATCTGCTGAGATCCCCAAGAATTAACTAGATAATGCAATACTATGCCATACTGTATTAATTAAATGTTGGGGTTTTTTCTTACAGGGTAAAATTCTTTACAAAGTACGGTGGAAAGGTTATACATCTGATGATGATACCTGGGAACCAGAGGTTCATTTGGAAGACTGCAAAGAAGTGCTTCTTGAATTCAGAAAAAGAATTGTGGACCATAAGCCTAAACCTGTTAAAAAAGACATACAGGTGTGTTTCACCTCCCAATATCTTACACTGAAGATGTATTCCCTATCTAGGCTCTGCTAATGCAGGGAGGGAGAAGGGAAGAATTTGGGATATGGAATTAAGAAGACTTAAAGAATCTCTTAACCTAAAACTGTTTTGCTTTATGTAAAACTGAATGTTGTTGTTGTTGTTCTCAGATTTGCTGAGTTTGTTTGTAGACTCTAAATCCATCTACACTTTATTTCTGTTTTTAATGGGACTATATATATGATATATGGTCCTTTTAGCTTGTTTTTGATAACATAACCCCCTTTCCCTACCCACATGTATATCATCTTGTCAGTGAAGCTAGGCGCTACTCAATTTACCCTCCTGCTTTGTGTAGCAGATTGATGAGGTTTTGCATGTTAACAATTAGAATTGGTAAGATGGTAAGATAGGAATACAGAAAACTTAATTGCAAGAAAGCAGCATATAGCTTTTTCTTTTCTTTTTTAACTACTCAGTTTGAAAATGAAGTGTAAGAATCTTTTCTGAAAACTGGTAACATACTTCAGGGAAACCTGTAGGTAAATTTTACAAAAGCAGGTTAATTGTTTTTGATGTAAAATAGTTCAGATTTAGTTCTCTTCTGGAATGTGATTGTTGGATGTCTGGTTTACTTGACTTGTTTATGTGTTAATTCTCATGCAGGCAGTTCATAATGTAATTTAGGTAAGTGAGCTAGAATTGTACTTACAAATTTTACAATTTGTCAATGAGGAATGATGTTTGCAGTAAAAAGATTTAAGTGTATAAAAATTTACTTCTAGGCACCACCACTACCATTTTTGTATAGTTTGCTCCAAAGTGATACAGTTTAATGGAGAAATAAATATTTTCCCTTTTTCCCCTGTCTTTTAGAAACTGTGTCTGAATGATGATGTATTTGAAGCAGAATCTGACAGTGACTGGCAAAGTGAAACAAAAGACGTTTCACCAAAGAAGAAAAAGAAGAAGTCAAAAGATGGAGAGGATAGAAGTCCAGATGATCTGAAGAAGAAAAAGTCTAAGTCTGCAAAACTGAAAGAAAAACCCAGAACAGAATGTGAAAATTCCTCAGATACTTTGGTTTTAGATTCAAAACCAAAGAAAAGGACTTCAGAAACCAAGGAGGATTCAAAGGAACCAAAGAAACAACGGAAAGAAGATAATAAAGAAATCAAGAAAAAGAAGGGAGAAGTTAAAGATTTAAAAATAAAATCTAAAGAAGATTCTAAAGAAAATAAAAAATCACGTAAGGAGAAGCATGGAGATGTTCAGTTTGACTCGGAATCAAGTGCTCTAGATGATGTATTTTCTCAAGGAACTGATAATGAAAATTCAAATTTAAATTCTGAAAATAAAGCCGAGAAGGAAAAGGTAATAGGTGGAGAAGAGAGATTGGAACAAGAAATTGCTGAAAAAGATTCCATTGCTGATAGACATCTTGATGAGTCAGCAAGTAATGAAGATGATAGTATTGATGTTAAGGGTAAAAGAAAGAAGAAAAAAAATCAGAAAGCTGAAGATTGTAAAGAGGAAGGTAGAAAAGTGGAAGCTCAAGATGTCTGTTTAGACAAGAAAAGCTTGCACAAAAAGCAAAAATGTCAAGAAAAAGTAAAAATGGTATCAGGAGAGTTGGAGAAAGTGTCAACTGCTCCTTCACCGGTGCAGAAGGGTTTGAAATTGAGCACTGATGAAAGAGGGCGCAAGTCCACCGATTCGACTGGGGAGGTAAGCAATGCTAAGGCATTGGGGTGGGAGCTGAGTATTAAATCAAACATCTTTGAGGTACAGATATCTCAGAAGGCTACTGTTCATGATGGCAAAGAGAAAAATACAGATTGGAAAGCTAACAAGCTGGATGAAGCTAAAGAAGGGCCCACTGCACGATGTATAGGAGTGACTGAAAAATCTCTGGTATGTGAACACTATAAAGGAGGGAATGCTTTAGGAGAGAAGGCTGTCTTTAAATGTGAAATTTTGTATTTCTCTGTTACATGTACTTACTTAGAATGAACTTTACTGTTCTTCCAGAACATACTGTGTTTATTTAGCTTTGTTCCTGCCACCTTCAACATTTGATGTTCTACTTGTGTAGTAAGACATTCAGCCTTGAGCAACTGTCCAACACTGCATAGTGAAGTGCCCTTTTGAGCTAAAGCACACACTTAATCTCTCTCAAAAGCCAGCCGTTCCATTATACCTTACATGTGTTAGCATCTGCCTGAGAATTGGAATGCTGAAATTGCTTCTAAACCCAAGTCTCACAGATGATTGTGCAGCTGGCTTGTCTTGTTAGAATTCCTGGGGTGCTTAAAGAAAATGTTAGTTTCATGACATGGTTTCATATTAATTACAAATGCTGTATCTGCTCTGAGAAATGAGCTAAACAAATAATGGAATATTTCTTTTTCCTTATTTAATACATTAGTGTGTTAAGAGAAGCAGGATGGTAAAGCTAAAAGAAAAAAAAAATCATGGAAAATAGTAAAACAATATTTCTGGAATGTTTCTGAGAATATAATTTCTTTCAGCTGCTTCAGACTGTTCTAATACAGTTTGCAGTTTGTAAAACTATGGCTGTTCAGAGAAACTCCTTTCTGATTTATAACAGGATTGCAGCCAAAACACCTTGATACTTACTGGATCATATCCCACTTCTTTTGAAGCCATAATTTCTGGGGTGACAAGTTTCTTCTGTAGGTTCAGCAGTGGTACTTTGCTCAAGATTGCTGCTTGTATGGAGTAGGCCACCTTAAATATAAGGAAGTTGATTTGGGGGTAGAGAATTACATGGTATAATCTCAGAGTAGAGCTACACAAAATAGTATCTGTGCAGGAGCTTAGTGGTGAAAGCTCTTGTAAACAAGAAGTTACTATGGGACATAGCCCAGTTTCAGAAAGTTAAATAACTGAAATGGTATGGCCTTTATTACTCAAGTATTTTCTTGTAGTTCGAGGCTATAGCGTTCATGAGAGAGAGACATCAGTGATGATAATCAGGTAACTCTTTGGAATTCTGTTTTATTTACCAGTAGTATAAAAATGCTGTCACCCCAAACATGAAGAAATCAACAGTGGATGAAAGTTGGTTTGCTTATGGCTCTTCAGCCAGCATTCTCAGTAAGTTACCTGTATGCCTTTCTCGAGGTCATGCTCCAAGGTACCAAGAAAGGCATTCTGCTCTTTGCTTTTTATCAGTCTAGGAGACTGTCCTGGTTTTGGCTGGGGTTTTTTCCCCTTCCTTCTTAGTAGCTAGAATAGTGCTATGTTTTGGATTCAGTATGGGATTTGATATGAGAAGAATCTTGATAATGTACTCACGTTTTTAGTTGTAGCTAAGAAGCCAGTCACTTTTCAGTGCACAAGAAGCTCGGGGGGGGGAGCATACCCAAAACAACAGACCCAAAATGAACAGTGGAATATTCCATATCTCACGTCGCGCTCAGTGTGTAGGTGAGGGTAAATCAGGAAGCTCACTCGGGTTTTCAGGGTGGTGGTTTCAGGATTCTCTCTTCTCTGGGATCACTAGCTGGGAATGGGCTGGGCATCGGTCAGCAGATGGTGAGCAATCACGTTATGCATTACCCATTTGTATTTATCATTATTATTATTATAATTATTATTTTAATTTCATTTTATTTCAATTATTAAATTTTTTTATCTCAACCTACGAGTCTCCTTACCTTTACCCCTCCAGCTCTTTTTCCATTCCCCAGGAGTGGGGAGGGTGAGTGAGCGGCTGCCTGTTGTTTGACTGCTGGCTGTGTTTAAACCATGACAGAGGCTTAAACAATATTTTCTGTAACTGGTTAGTTATTCTCCAGAGCAGCTGTGGACTTACTGGATGGGTGTGTTTCGTGGAGAGTTCTGGAGGGTTTTTGGCTTCACTAAATTGTTGGCCCAGACGGATTATTATTTTCAAATAAAATCATTGTGTATGTTTAAGCTATCTGTCTTTCCTTATGCAACTCTGACGGCAGAACACTGTCATGTCAGTTTATAATACTGTATTCTTTCTTTGGAGGCAGTTTGCACACCGAACTATTCTTTCCATTTGTTTTACCTCCACAGATAAATGTGCAGTGTATATTGTGTACCTGATCAGTATTGCAAATCTGGAATAGAATTCAGGATTACTGATTTTAACAGCCACTCTGTGTAGCAAATATCTGGTAATCCCTTTAGTAAATTACAGGTCTCCTTTTATATACTGGCCATCTGCTGGGATTAACACTGTCTCTGCTACTACTTAATCATGTCAGTGATCAAACGCTGAGGTTTTGTGGTGGGGAGGGAGTGAGTGAGAAAGACAATTAAGTGTCTCAGTTCTGCTAACATTATGATACACCAAACTCATATATTTTAACTGAAGTTTTTCCTGTGTCAAAGAAACGGTAGCATTTAATGATAAATGCAGTCTATAGTTCCTGTGGGAACTTCTTTTGGGGCAGTTTCTCAGAAAGCCAGTGCTATTCTGTGTACCAGGTTAGTGTCAGGGGCTGATACAAAGCCATGCCAAGAAGCTTTGTCCCACCTACTCTGCAGTTTGGAATTTGCTGACTGAATGGAGAGAAAGGATTATAGGAGGAGAAAGGTAACCTTCCGTGAAGGCAGTTGAATTCTGTTTTGGTGAATTTGATTGTATATCTCATCTATCATAAATTTCTTATGTGATACCAGATATTGCTAGGCTCAGTGTTCTCTGTGGATTGGGTGGATTTTTCCGAGTGTTTTTCACAAATGGCTGTTGCTGTAGTGTTCTGTTTGTGTAAACTGGAAAACTTGGAACCTTCTTTATAAAAAATGTCGTTTTCTCAGTTAAGGTTCAAGTCAGTGCTATCATAATTGCTTTGAATATTGTGCTACAAAGGTGTTAAATACTTCAAAATAATTACATCCTATTCAGGCTTGGTATTTGGAACAAATGAAAAGTTCATAGTTTGGAATTTCTGTCAAAATGCTGGTTTTGGCATATCTGCACCTCATGCCATAAAGCACCTTGAATGCCTGGGTTGCAGGAAACACCTGAATTGAAGTTGTTTTATTTTGGAAATAACATCTCTTCTCTTATGGAAAAAGCCTTCACAGACTTAACTCCTGACTCACCTGTTTAATTCTTTTATTAGAAATGTCCTCAAGTCTTGTTATATACAGGCTTCAGTAGTATTAATTCTAGTTATATTTTATTGGAGTGGTGAAGGTTCTTTCATATTTTTCTCTACCACTTAAACTTGATCTTTGTTCTTAATATCAGGAGAAAGAAGTAAAGAGAACTGAAACGAAAGAAAAATCTCAAAAGAAAGAGTCTGAAAAAGAAGAAAAGACTGGAAGAGAACAAAAGGGCCTAAAAAGTAAGTGCTAACTGCTTAAAGGAGAGAAGGGAAAGACCCTTCAGGACGTTCTCTTATTTCTACAAGAGTGGGTATTGTATAGTTTTGTAACACATCAGAAACAAAGATTTCTGCTTTCATTCTAGGAAGCAGAAGTCTGCTGTTTAGTGGCTTTGTTAATACAGGCTTTGTGAGAATGCTGTGTGTACTTTCATGTATGAAGCATGGAAGTGTATAGAAATCTCTTAATGTTTTTGTAGACAGGTCTAGATTTTTCCCTTTCATTTAATATTGTCAACTCTGCTTCTGTGGCATGTAACAATCTTTTTCTTTTTAGAGAAATTCACCCAACTATTGGCTTATTTCCAGAAGTGTTCTTAAGACACTATGAATACACATGTTTTATGTTTAGAAAAACTAGCAGAGGTTCCCATCAGAAAAAACTTACTGCCTCTTGCTTTAACCCCAATGATGAATTACATTATATAGCACTTAAATCATCCAGTTCTGGTGATATTTTGATACATGAAGAAAAATAGGTTGTATTTCTGTTCTTAATAGTATAATGGAGTATTAATGTTACCATTGTTGATTTCAGTAAAATTCTGTATGGTTTTATACAGGATAAATTGCTTTACTACTTTGATGAGGATGTACTGAGAAAAACTAGGTAACTCCACCTTTGATAATCATGAATGGATATAGGAAGAGCTATAATGTTTCAAATAGCTGTTGCTAGAGAGAAATCTTTCACTGAAGGTAGCATAGATGCTTACAATGCTTAAGAAAATTAGTAACATACAGATTGATTAATGAATGTTCTTCATAGAGCACATGTCCTTCATTTGTTCATCACAGATACTGAACTGTATTTTCAAAGTAGTAATTTATACATAATTCTAAACTACACTTCTTAAAAAGAAGATGGTACCATGTTGGAAGCAGTCAGAACTCAGACTTAGTAGGTTAGATGGAGGTCAACTAGCTCTCCCCAGTTTTTTGGCTTATGTTGTTAAGCTTGCTGCTACACTTCAGCAATGATTACCTTATGGAAAGAGAACAGACCTTTTCTAAATGGGCTCTGGTAACAAACTTTGTGATGTAATAGTCTTTAGTGGCTCAAGTAGTCACTCTTGGTAACTGTCTTAATATTCTAGGCTTTAAGGACATCAAAAGCGCATTTGGATTGTTTAATGTAGCTTCAGAAGAAAGAAATGAATATTCTGAGAATAACTGCAGAAGAGAAGAGTCTTCGCTAGAATATAAATTCATGGAAGAATTAAGAGCAAAAGACAGCAAGGTGTACAAGGAAAGAAGGAACATAAAAGATGAAACAGACACATGGACTTGCAATGCTGCAGAACGTGATCGAGAAGTAGTGGTGGATGTGTGTCAGATGGAGAACTCTGGTGAGCAGTAGAAACAAATGCAGGGAAAAGTTGAGCACTGGCAGTTAATGTTTTCTCCATTCCTGCTTGCATCTTTTAGTGCTCCAATTCTTATGTCTGCAGGAGGCTGAAATGATGTTTTCTTTTGAAACTCACTGATAACTTTTCATTATGTTTCCAGTGTGTTTCTGCTATTACAGTAATGGAGTGTTCACCATCTCTTACACTTCAGCCTAATTAATTTAGAACAAATAGACAGTTTATTTCAAGTAAAAGCATCTTACGTCCGTTTGTAATGTAGCCTTCATTGTTTGGAACCATTCCACACTGCCTTCCAGAGTCTATTTAAATGAAAAGTAGTAGTATGTTAAGCTGCTGATCATTGAAGCAATGGCAAGCAATGAATGGTTTGGAAATTTATGTCTTATTTTATGTTTTTTCTTCCATAAAATCAAATATATTATAGGTGGCAAGCAACAAGTCCTGAGTTTGGGTATGGACATGCAGTTAGAATGGCTTACACTAGAAGACTTTCAGAAGCATCTTGATGGAGAAGATGAGAATCATATGTCAACAGAACCGATATCAAGTAGTGAGTAGTTGCTGGGAGGAAGAGTCATTTCTTAGCTGGCGTTTCAATGTGAAATATTCTATAACTGCATTGAATTTATTTTCTAGCTCTCCTGAGGGATGCTGTTAAAAGTGGTGATTATATGACAGTAAAGATGGCACTTTCTTCAAATGAGGACTATAATCTGGATCAAGAGGTAATTCTTATGCAGTAGAAGTATCGGAGAGGGGCAGGAGGGAAGAATACAAATTTGGATTGTTTGAGTTTTCCCCTCTTGCTAGTAGCAAATTTCTGTCTCATGTTGGAAAAAAAGCACAAAGGAGAAAAGGGAGTATAGAATTTGAGGCTTCAGTACTTGTTACCAATTTCTTCCACAGAAAAAAAATGCAAGTTTGATACAAGTAAAGTTGGATAGAAGAATCCCAGTAGCTGGATTTACAGCAGATTTTTCCACTGGATTTAACTTTACATGCTATAAATAATGATGATACTCTCAGGTCAAGTGACTAAACGATGTAAAAATATCTATACATTAAAAAATAATAAATTTGAATGTTCTGTTTGACAGACTGGGACCATTTCACTTCAAGAATAGTAACTTTTCTGACGGTTCATCATCAGCTGTGTTCTTACTAGTTTTTCTGTCAAGGATCTGTTTACCTGTTAAATAGTACTAGAGTTCCATTTTTGAGGATTAAAATCTCTGATACCAATATTTTCACAGGTGATCTTGTGTAGTTAATGCTACATAAATGACTTGCGGAAAAATCACTCTATAACTGTGGAGTTATAAAGTAGGTATGTTTATTCAGCACTGGGCGCATGGGGGATCGCTCCACCACAAGCATGCGCACCGTTTGCAGCTCCCGTCCGGCTTATATGTTACAAAGTAGTGCATATTCATAGAACGCCTATACATATACATAGTCTACCCGTGCCTCCTCTCGCTTCTCATGGTAATCAGGTCTCCTCCCCTTGTGCCTGCGCGATGAGCTCTTCAAGTTCCGGGCAGGGGTCTTATAGATTAAGTACCTCTTCTTCCTTGCTGATGAACTTTTCACCCTGTTGCTCTGCGCAACCTCAGTTGTTCTCTGGCTTCTGACCAAACTGCCAGGCCAGTTTGCGCTGGAATTTGGGGTCATCTGTTGCTGATACCCACAACTTCAAGGACCAGAGGAGGCTTCTCTTTGAGCTAGGAAATAATAGCCTAGCAATGTTATCAGCACCTGGTATGTCTTTGCAAACAGCCCCATACGCCTCCTTTTGTCTTGCACCATCAATCTAAGGTGGTTTAGACTCCGCATCTCATTCCCCCCTTTTCTTCCTACTTAGTAAATTCTTTTACTACTTATCTATCTATTTCTTAATCTATTTCCCTGGCCCCATAATATGTTAGTACTATCCTACAAATGAGTTTATTGCTTAAAGCTCAGATTGTGATATAAAGCATCATACATAGCTTGCAAGCGTTTTGTAAGACTCCAGATCCATACATATATAGCTACAGTAAGGATCAACAAAATTGCTACAGATATTAATAAAACAACCACTGGGTGAAGGGCTGTGTTTAAGATTCCAGTAGCTGTAGGTGACCATCCAAGGAGCGTATCCCACCAATTATGTTTCTCTTCCTGTTCAACCACCTTTAAGACTTTTTTTATCCTTTCCCCATCATGAAAGGTTGTGACTAATGTTTCTTGCCCTTTCTCCTTGACTTCTTCCAGTATCCGGTGTAAGTCTGGGTGTTTTAATAGGCTTTCTATATGACTTACATTTAACCATATGGGGACAGGAAGTACTGCTACCATAAGGCAGCTTTTCAAGAAGGAATGTGTAACCACTGGGGCAGAATAAGTGAAATCACACCCTAGGATGATGGTGAAATTACAAATACAATAATTTAGATGCTGTATCAGTTTCTTCTCTTGCCCATCTATGGTTATTGTGTCACATAGTGTCCATACACATGCATATTCCTTTCCGGTATAGACAACAATGGTCCTCAAATCTACGTTGGGATGTGCTCCAAAGTGACAAATCTTTTGGTCAGTATCTAAGCAGGTATCCTGGGTTATTAAGGTATTACTTTCACATATAAATCCCTGTTGTTCTTTCATGATACAGGGTTCAAGATCTACTGCTTGCCGTTTATTACCAGTATTCATAGCCCAGGTCTTATGTTCAAAGGGGTACAGCAGAGTCCTGTTGTAATTGACTCCGAGGCTTACAGTGTGGTGTATGGTGATTAATTTTGCATCGTGTACCGTTAACACAAAAGTCGTTAATGTATGCATGTCAGGCCTATAGGTGAAGTCGACCATATTCCACCATGATTGTAACTTTTTCTCTCTGTGGCACTATTCCAAACTATTTTTCGAATTTCAGTGGGAAGTGTGCCCTCCTTCCCTTATTACAGATTCTGCTACTGTTTGCATCCCCATAACTGGGTTTGTATGCAACTTAGAGCTATGGTGACATCACCTTGTAATGCTCCCAGTGTTTCAGCAATAAGTGTGTGATCTTTTGTTTCTTTTTGCTCCCAATCTGGCATTACTTTTGACATAGCCCATTGATGTACCCCTAATGCTGATAGTGAAGACCTTAATGGCTGTTGTAATTTTGATATATCCCTTGTAGTAGCTGCTAATTTGTTCATTATTACTTCTGAATATACTGAATTCAACATTCCTAATCTGGTTCCTAATACTCCAGTTAGGTCCCTCTGTGGTCTTTTCTGGTAGGTATTTCCCTTTTTCCTTAGCCAAGTTTTCCATCCTTTGTTCAAGGTTCACAAGAAACGGGAACAACATGGCTCTATATTAGAAATGTTAACTTGCATCTGTAATTCTACCTTTTTTAGAGACCATTTTGGATTGATCAGCACTTGCAGTTGGTCTGCGTGTCTGATCATGTACGGGTCGACCTTGTATATGTTGGGTGTAAGATTTACAGTGATTGGTGCGGTTGTCATGGTCACCATGCTTTCAGTTGTGGTTGTCACTAGGGTAGTCACCATGTTAAATTTAAAGATAGCCCTAGTTTATCCTTGGCCCAGAGACATGTCACAGAAACAGCAGGCTGAGTCAAAGTAAAATTATACCATCATTCTAGATCTTTTGGATCATATGTATGGCCAATACTTGACATGATATATTTGGGATTTGATATTTTGATCTCAGACACTGTAATTTGAAGCACTGACCAATGGGTGATCTCATCCATTACTCGACACCCTACTCTAATCTCTTGCCCTACCGTTCCCCATAATCGTGGTACTCCATTGACGTCTCTCCGGTTTTTGTATACACCTCTGTTCCCCGCATCACTACAGTAGCTAAAGTCAAGGCTGAGTTAGTATTGGTTATACCCATGCTCCCAGTATACCCAATGTACGCCTGGGACCATGACCATTCAGTGAACCTTTGACCGGGTATTTTGGGGAAAGGAGATTATTAGACTTATCGAGAGAAGCGTAGTCTTCCCGGCTGAGTTTGTGTAACCTTCCATGGGGATTTGTGGGCTCTCTTTACTCGGGTGTGATGAATCCAGGCTGAGTATTCCTTAATCTTGATGGCCGTAAATGTTGTGAGTAGCATTTGAAACGGCCCTTCCCATTGTGGTTCCAATGTCTTTTCTGTAAGAGACTTAACATAGACATAGTCTCCAGGCTGTATGTTATGTACAGGCCTATCTAACCCTCTACCCCGAGTTCCAAATACATGTTTCCCAATTCTGTTCAGTTGTTTACTTCATGCTATCATGTATGAAGTCATAGTTTCCTCCCCAACTTGCATCAACGTTCCTTTCTGTTCTGCGTAAGGTCTGCCATATAACATCTCAAAAGGGCTCAACCCTTCCCTGGCCCTTGGTTTTGCTCGTATACACAAAAGTGCCAGAGGGCGAGCCTGGGGCCAGGTCAGGTTTGACTCCTGCCCGAGTTTCACTATTTGCTGTTTAACCAAATGGTTCATCTTTTCTACTTGGCCACTAGATTGGGGACGATAAGGTATGTGAAGTTGCCAGTCTATACCCAGACGGCAACTGATTTGCTGAATAACTTTCAAGATAAAGTGTGGTCCTCTATCTGAGGATATAGTCGCTGGGACCCCAAAGCGTGGAATTATTTCTTGTACTAATATTCTTGTCACTTCCCGGGCTTTGGCAGACCTAGTGGGGAATGCTTCTGGACAACCTGAAAATGTATCAGTTAATACCAGTAAATATCGATGCCCCCCTTTTCTCGGAAGTTCTGAAAAATCAATTTGCCATTGTTGTCCTGGTCCATTTCCTTCTCCAATCTGTCCTACTTCTAGAGTGGGGGTATTCTTAGGATTAGTCTGGAGGCAAAGGTCGCACTGTTGAGTCACCTGTCTTACTATGGTATACAAATTTCTAGCTCTAATACTCTTGACCAAATATTGGTGTAGGGCCTCCGCTCCCCAGTGCCCTTTCCTGTCTTCCTCCCGTACCAGGTGTCTAGATAAACAAGAGGGAATTACTACCTTCCCTTGGGGAGTGACTGCCCAACCTTCTTCATTATATGATCCTTCCAGGTCTGTAATTTTTTGATCCTCTTTAGTATAAGTAGGCTTACGTTCTGGGATGACTTGCCTATCAGGAACTAAAACTCCCTCCATTTTTACCTCTCTTTTGGCTGCTTGTTTTGCCTCTCTGTCTGCCAGTTCATTTTCTTTTTCCAAATCCGAGTTCACCTTTTGGTGGGCCTTAACATGCATGATTGCTGCTTTTCTTGGAAGTTGTACAGCTTCTAGTAGTTCCAGAATTTCCTTCCCATGTTTGCTGTGTTTCCTTTGTGAGTTCAACACTCCTCTTTCCTTCCATATTGCTCCATGAGCATGAACTGTCCCAAAGGCATACTTTGAGTCTGTATAAATGTTCACAGTTTTGCCTTGGACTAATTCTAGTGCACATGCTAGAGCAATTATCTCTACCTTTTGTGCATATGTATCTACAGGCAGTGGTTCTGATTCCATGATCTCTTGGGTGGTAGTAACAGCATACCTAGCATACCTTTTGCCACTCAGGACATAGCTACTCCCATCTGTAAACCAGTTCTCAGTATCTTCTATAGGGTTGTTTTTCAAATCTGTGCGGCCTGGTATGTTGCCTCGATGGTCTCCAGGCAGTCATGTTGCACTGATTCTCCTGTGTTTCCACTCAGGAAGGAAGCTGGGT